TCTTATCTTATATTTAAATAAAAATGAGTATATATTAATACATCAGTAGTTCTAGCGTTAATTAATTAAAGTAAAATAGGATACTTACATGACCCGAGATAAGAGCAAAATTATCCAGGAAATTCGGCCAATTTAAGGTCTCGTATTCATGCTCCACCTTGAATATCATTGCAGAAATTGCGTTCTTCAGATCGTTCACTCGCATTATTATGGCTTCTAAAGCCGAGTCCTGTTGTTTTTCCTCTCTTTGCATTGCGCAATTTCTATTATTAAATGCGTTTGATATTTGAATTCCAATCTATTCTTTTGTTCGTCGCCGCAAAATCACATAAAATGTGAAAGTGTATCTCACTCATCTAACTCACGCTCATCAACTTCACACCTCACTTAGTTTCACGTTCCACTCTCTCCTTCCTTCGGTTCGGCAGCTGGTGTCTAGATATATACAATATGTCCAATCACTCTAATACATCTCAAACCTAACCTATGCTGGGTTTAGATTCCCACTCGAGTGTCACCCAGGTATCACTCCATCGTTGTTGTTTATCGAACATTAAACAAGGATGACATGATACAATGAACACGTCCCTACATACACTAAACTAGGGAATTTGAAAAATAAAGTTTGTTTTTATAATTGACCTTGTATACTTTTAAAAAAATGAAATAGATATATGTTGGACATTTAACTAAAATAAAAAGATCTAATGGCAGGCATAAAAAACAAGACTTACTTTTGAACGCAAAAAAATATCACGAGATTAGCGTGATTTAACATGATAATGCAAGGGATTTGTTTTTTTATACAATTGAGCGTTAATTTCTCGTCTCTTCTCTTTCGCTCTCGAACATTTAATTATACATCTATTTCACTTTAAGTGCATAAAGTGTAATGTGTCATCTATAATATGCAGAATAAGTTGATGTAAAAAGTAAGACCAAGAAGTTCACCAATCACAGCTAAATGAGAGAGAAATAATCGATTGTGATCGGTCAATTTTTAACTTAAGTACTTCTCATAGATCTTATACGAAACTTAGTCCGCATATTGCAGACGACGCAGCTACGAAAAACAAAGAGCTTGTCATCGTGGGTCAGCTGTTCGCCAGCTGATCGCCGCGTACACGTGATCGCTCGGGATTACTTGCGAGAATTATTAATCATTGTTTAATTGCAACTCATTTTCGCACGGGACGACATCGATGCACAACGTAATGAAGTCTTTTCGCGAGGTCCTTGCAAACGCCAGCAACATCCTGATCCTCACCGGCAGCGGGATCTCTGCTGAATCCGGCGTACCGACTTTCCGGGGTGCTGGTGGTTTTTGGCGTAAATACCAGGCACCGAGTCTTGCGACGCCGGAAGCCTTCGCGGCGAATCCTTCACTAGTCTGGGAGTTCTATGAATACCGTAGGCAGTTAGCGAGCAAGGTCAAACCAAATAAGGTAATTCGAAGAATAAAAATGTTAGAAAAACAAATATCAACATTACAAAAGCTTTCCTTTCATAATATTCTTGTCTATTTTTAATGAGTTTTAATGAGTGGAAAACAATAGAAAAACATACTATATTCTTGTCCTTTCTTTTTAATTCCTAGGCACACGAAGCTGTAGCAGATTTCCAGAAACGCAAGATAGCGGAGGGTAAAAGGGTGTCGATCGTCACGCAAAACATAGATAATCTGCATCAAAAAGCTGGAGCTACAGATGTACTGGAATTACATGGTTCACTTTATAGAACACGCTGCACCAAGTGCCGCAACGTTGCTGTTAACGAGAACATTCCCATCTGCCCAGCACTAGCAGGAAAAGGGTCCGTAATATAACTGCAAATAACATAAGACAAAACCATCTTCTTGTCGATCTGATGATAATGTATGTAAGCAGAGCTCCTGATCCAAACATTATGTCTTCTGATATTCCAATAGAAGAATTACCACGTTGCGAAATCAAAGATTGTGGAGGGTTACTACGACCTGACATTATATGGTTCGGAGAACAGTTGGATGCAAACGTGTTGGAGAAAGCCTGTGCGTAATTTTATTTAACAAAAACATAACTGTACATTCAAAATATGATAAAGTAAAATTCTGCTCATATAAAATATCGTATAAAACGAGCGAAAAAAAGCGGAGTCTTTGATTAAAAACATCGCGATATATGTGTAAAGTATATATATCAATACAAGAAAACTAAAATATGTTTATCATTCACAAATTTTTTTAAACTGCAGATAACATTGTGGAAACGTGTGACGCTTGCCTGGTTATTGGAACCTCTGCAATCGTATATCCAGCCGCTATGTTTGCACCGCAAGTCGCACAACGTAATGTACCGGTTGCAGAATTCAATATAGAGGAAACGCCAGCCACAAAACAATTGCAGTGAGTATAGAAACTTCTTTGTCAATAAAAAATGTCTTTTATAATTTAAAAATTCTCTAAAATAATTAAAGTTTCTACAGTTTAAAGATAAAAAATCTATAGACCTATATAAATAGATATCACAATAGCTTGATAATATAAAATATATTGTCTTTATCTTTTTCATGTATGCAAAATATAAAATATCTGTATAATCATTGATAGAAAGTTATATCACAGCTTCTTCATGCTTTCGTTTACGCCCTCGAGAATGACTCGCATTTGACTGTAATAAGAAAAAGAATATGTTACGTTGCATATTACATCTCTTTTTTTTTTGTTTTTTATTCCTGTGCACTAAACTAGATCTTTCTTTCTCGCTTTCGCCAAATATCAAACATATATCTATTTCATTTTAAGTTCCAAATATGTATATTAATCTAGCTACAGAAAATAGATCTATCACATTAAATCATGAATTAATAATTTTTTTTAATAAATTATTTTACAGATATCACTTCCAAGGTCTCTGTTCTATCACTGTGACAGAAGCACTGGCGCCTTAAAAGGGTATATATAATAAAATAATTGAGCTTTTATAATATAAAAAATGATTACCTCACAGTAGCATACTTCTGTATTCAATCCAATTCTATTTAAGTAATTCAACCATAATGTTTGTTTGGTTGATAACTTATCATTCGGACCTTTCACTTCTACAATTTTGTACTAAAAAATATATTAGGTTATAATTTTATGGAACTTACGTTCAAATTAGAATAGAAGGTATTATTAAGACTTATTTTATATGAACTTCTTAAAATTGTACATAGAAAAAAAAGATTGACTTACCTGTTTTGTATTTATATTCCACACAATTATATCTGGAAAACCAGCTTTCCAGAGTGAAAAGTTGTGAATGAGTCGTTCGCATATTCCAACCACACCTTTTACGCCTAAGCAAAACGCTATTTCCTGCAAAACAAGTGCGATATTTGTAATGTGTTTTATTAAAATTTATTAATTAGCTGGGAATATTTATTACTTACCTTGAAGATGTTACTGTCATCAAAAATATTGCCCTGAGAAATAGACTTGTACTTAGAATACGATTCAAACTCATTCTGCAAATGTTTGCTCAATTTTTCCGAATCATAACTTCGAATATCTTGAAGCTTCTCGTCTATTTCTTTTTTTCTATTCTCGTAAAATTCCGACGTATACAAATCTAACGGCGCATCCTGATACGACGATACCCACGCGCCAGGAACGTTTATATTATATATTTCGTTCCAAAATAATGTAGCGAACAGGGTGATTGGAAAGGCACCTTCACAGTGCACGCCTTTGATATATCCTTCGTTTTTGTAATGATATATCGCCAGACTTTCGACCGAACCGTATACTTGGTCTATTCCCCTGCTGATACACCAAGTGCTCTTCCCCTGTGAAGTATTCCTGGCAAGATATATATTATAAGAGATATACATATCTTAATCTCTATTTAAATAGTTAAAAATTTAAATCTTACTCGCATGCTGTTCCTTCTATCGTCTTGGAATTCTGATGTGTAAGTTGTATCTTGCTAAATACACTGTTCAACATAATTTTAACAGAGTTTTTTGTTCTTTTTTCGATACCGGATTTTCTTTTATCAATTTTTTTTGCTCTGTCGAACAGGTTGAATTCATCAACTTCTGTCAGGTTCTCACATAACATTGCTTGTGATAAGAACATAAAACTAGCTTCAAAATTTTTCTTATGAAACATTTCTATCTTAATCAATTCATTATACCATTCGCCTTTTCTATGTTTCATATGACAATTCTGCTCTATTAATATTAGCAAAAATTGTATCGCCTGTGACAGCGTTTCCTTGGACTTTTTAAATGCATCGATGCTTTTCGATAAGACTTTGAGCCATATGTAACCTGGCATAAAGTGTCTAATGTGATGAGGCAGACTAGAATCTTGAAAACTGCAAATGGACGCAGTATAAAATAAATTTACTTTACAATGATCTCATTTTAAATAAATATATTCCGTCAATTACATTTTTCTTACCTTTCCGATTCTACTTCTAAGAAGAGTGGTAAACGTTGCGCAGCTAAAGTTCCAAAATTCTGTACGGTATCCCATTGTTTTTTCTCAATTGCAGTTAATATATTAGTCAATGCATTTTTAGCTTCAATATAACTGTAAGATATATATATATAAGATTCAAATTAAAATAAGATTCAAAAATGATAAAAGATAAATCATAAAGGCAATAAATTTACTCTAGCAAATGTCTTTTGCTGACGAAGATAGGCAGGTCACTTATAGTTACTTCTGGAAACTCTAGCTCATCCGCCTCAACGTTCCATAACGTTTGAAATACATCCACAAACGTCTCGTCAGGATTTCGATTAGGTATCAGCAACGTAATTATTCTATCAACCAATTCTTTTACTTTGTCGTTCAATAATATACAATCCCCCAAAAGCTTGTTGACCGACGCGCGTAGTTTAGTGGCAGGAGTCGTCATTCCGGGAAACAATGATTTCGTTTTGCAAAATGTCAAAATTGATTCTATACTCAACCTTTTTCCACGAATACTGATCTTTAATTCCTTACAAATCTTGCTAACTTCATTGGCGTGCAGCAAGTTCAGTAAACTGAATATATTTTCTTCATCCATGTTATTTTTAAACATAGATCGTGATACAAGCTCATCAAAGATGGGCTTCAAATCATTGGATATCTCATCGTATTTAATATTGCTTATCCTATGCCACGTATGCTTCCTTTTCAGCATACGTATCAGTAATGCTTGTGCATTTCTTCGAAGAGTGATCATCGAAAATACGAAATCCAATTCGTCCTGATCGAAATATCCGCAATTGATTGGTTTAGAGAATACAGTAACAATAGCTAGGAAGAAAAGTAGTGAATTCTTATCCGTAGGTACAACTACATCGTTAATTTCGTATTTTGTCGAAACTGTAGTGTCTATGGGATTGTATTTGTAGTTAAATTTCTTACTCGAGTAAACCTTTTCCAGATCAATGTCATTGTTAGCAATGGCTCCTTCTTTGGCTAAATTTAAATTACTTATCGTTGCGGATGTTAGTTCCTCAATTCTATCGTTGAACAATTTCTTTCGCGTTATCATTGGAGATGACTTATTTAGCGTGATTTTTAATGGAGACGATGTTTTTGGCGTAAACTTTGTACCACTGTATGATGCAGTATGTTGTTGACTTCCAACATATATTATATCAGGAGAAGTATGTTTAGTGGTTGGAGACATTATTGTCTTATTTTCTATAATTTTAGTTGGACTATTCTCGATTCTATTTTCGAATAATTTAGTTGGACTGTACTTGGCTTTATCCATGAACAATTTCCTTCGCGGTATCTTTGCGGGTAATGATTCTCGCACGTTTTTTGTTACAAATGTCTTGGGAGTGGACTTTATATTACTGTGTGATACAGTACATTGTTGACTTTCAACACATATTATATCAGGAGAATTATGTTCAATGGTTGGTGACATTACTGTCATATTTTCTGCAATTTTAATTGGACTGTTATTCATATTAGCCTTGAAAGGAAATGCCCCACTGCCAAACGAGACATTATCATGCATTCCATTTTGTTTTTTGTTTATTTTATATGGGCTTTGCTTGTTCTTACGTATAGGAGTTCTTGAATTGCTTGATACTTGTCTACCTTTCTGTATAAGAAAAAAATAAAATTCAACATATTATTAATACTCAAATTGTTAAAATGTTCATTAGATAACTAATGATAATTATAACTTACCGTCCTTCCAATAATTGGGCTTTTGGATCTCGCATTAGATGACTTTTCAATATTGCCTTTTACACTTTCAGATTCCTTTATTTTGTTATTGCTTGTAACTTTATAATACTGATCTATTCTGGTTTGTGCCATCATTAGAGGAAAAATGTTCAGCTTAAAGACAAACCATCTCTATGGCCTGCTGACAAACTACTGTAAATTATACTATTTACGTTATACTGATGCCTCAATGGAATAAACAAAAGGGACCCAAGCGCAGACACGACTGCAAGCACGTTCTCGGACACCTGAAGGAACGAACGGAGGGTCACTCTGCATCAACCATTTGCTCTCAATCCTTTTTTATTTCGTTCGTACATTATCCTATCCTTAAAAGTAGAACTTAATTTAAACCATAGCGTATCGACCAAGGAAATTACAGTATTTACACAGTCCATACAAATCACCGGCGGATACAAGTGTGTCGTTTGTCTAAGCCATACAGATCCAGAATGTGGATCGTGTCGCGACGAAATCTAAGTATCGACGGCGTTTTAATACTCTGTCCCTTGCAACTCTTCCCGTAAGTTTAAAAACTACCGAAGGACGTCGACGGGGTATGTAAAGCCTAGCGAAACGGTGAGTTTCGTTATCCTCGTCTTACCTTAAAGATAAAGATCCAGAAGTCGCGCGTACGCCGTAGGAAAGACTAAAGGGATTGCGAATCTGCGAGACGCGTCTCGATGTCGAAAACACCTGTATAGAATCAATCACCAACTCGGCGAGTGAGTACATGCAAGTATATGTCACACTGCTGTGTCCATTAGACAGATAAGGTTAGACTCGCTCTTCCACGCAGACGCGCGTATCTTGCTTGGCGGGAAACGTGAGCGGCACAATGTCATTTCCCGGCGGGAAAAACCTAGCGATTGACTCAGCGTAAAGACTCAGCACTTTCGCGATGATTACGTCATTCATTAGATATAAAGTGTATAACGAATTTGGTCACTTGGATTACTTTTAGAGAGTGCATATTAAAGTATCTAAATGCAGCGAATAAAATAATTAACTTTGACAACAAATAAAAAGTATATTACTCTGTTGAATGACATGACAATTATAATTATTAGATATTTAATAAAAATATTTATGCTTTTATATTTGTAAAGTATAAATATTTTAAACAATTAAATTAATAAATTTATTTATAAACTTATTTAATTTAAATAAGTAATAAAATAATTTCTAAGTTCACGTATAGCACTAATACTAACCTTTAGTATGCACTAATTTAGTAATATCAGTGACTGCATTCGCATTTATAGACATAAGTTTATAAATGTGTAACAAAAATAAAACGTCAAACAATGATTGAACATAAAAACGCACGTTTTAAGAAATCCTTACAAGAATATGTACATTTTATCATATTTATACGGAAAAAAAAAAAATAATTTTGTGAGAAAAAATTTGTCTTATATTCAAATTTAACAAAGTTAAAGCATTAATTCTGAAGAGTTAGGTAAGCTTTAAAAAAACATAGAAAAGAAAGATTGTTTAATAGCCAGCGTAATCGGAATTTATTTTGGCAGATCCACTTTGTTCGGATTTTATCGTTTGTTGTATCAAATGTAATTTTCTCGTAAGAAAACGTAAGAAAACGACGCTTTTATCTATTTTTCTCTCGTTCAACAAATACAAAGAAACGGGATTCGTGACGCGCATTTTAAAAGTCTTGTTGCTGCATGATGAACGCAAACGAAATGGATGCAAATTTTAAATTATTAATTCAAATATCAATTGCATTAGGCTCGCCGAGTTGCTCATAGGTATTGTATATAGCGAATTGTGACCTAACGCGTCTCATTCTTCTCTCTCTCTCTCTCTCTCTCTCTCATTTTATATATTTTTATCTTTATATATATATGCATACATAAATATATATATACACAGATATATATGTATTTATGTATGTCGTGTTTGCATGTACAGAGCCCACGAGATGCGCTACGTGTATACGTACATATGTATACGAATATGTACAAGTCATTCGATACGCATCCGCCGGTTTCGTTCTTCTCCCTCCCCCTCGGAGTTACACGCTAATTAGAATATATTTAATAGCCAAAAAATGCAACCCGTAAATTGACTTATAATATATATGTATATACACACACACACACATACACACACACACACACCCAAACACACACACACTCAATTAATTATATCCGCTATCTCGCGCGCGCCGTTAATCGCAATGATTACGAATAATTAATACTTAGGTCTCTATACATAAATTGCGGGGAAATGCCGACTCGTCCACCTGATAACACCTCTCTATTCTTTATCATGGCAACAATAAAGATTGAAATAATATCTCTCGTGTTTGGACGAAACGGTTGCAACTGAAAGTTTGGAAAGATAAAACATACAGTTAAATTATATAATATAATATGCGTAATAATTTCATATAATTTATACAATAATATGCGTAATAATTTCATATAATTTACAAAGTAATATGAGTAATAATTCATGTGTCGAATATTGCAGCTCTCTCGATAAATAAGACGTTGCGCAGCATCGAGGGGTGTTAACAGGTGACGGACTTGATCAGACGACGTGTCGTATCGAGGAACAGGTCGAAGGGCCGTCCGGAGTTAACGTTCTACGGGATGTCCTGTAAGTCCAGCTTTGTAGGGCATATGCGTTTCATTTCATGCTGAGACCGCATAATCTTTATAATGAAAACGGTAGTAGACACATTTTGAGCAGGTTATATAAAGCTTTATCTTATCCTTTTTTATTATTTTTTTCCTACAATGCTGGATTCGTGCAACATATCCTGTATGTACACATCTCGTATATGTACGCGATCGTATATAGAACTCCCAGTGTCTCCTTTCAGCTCCCGACTATTTCAGTCCTTCGACTGTACAAATGTTCTTGTCAAGAGAAAGATTACTTGTGCCCAAAGACTCGCGTTCAAATTGGAGCTTTGGCTGAAGCGTCGTCTCTGTCCTTTTTCTCTTCTTTCATTTATTTGTTTCTTTCCTTTTTCGTCCCGATCGGATCTTCCTGTGTCGCACAGCGACGCGGAAGCCCTACACCGTATTCACAGAATAAAATACATGTATATAAGTAGGTACACATCGTGCCTCGATGCGTCGGTTGATATTAAATCGTAAATCTGTATTAACACGCAGAAAAAGTGTCGTGGAGCTTTCTCGTCTAGGTAGATCTATTGACCAGGTTTAAGCTCATTCCTCTTCTCCCGATAATCTTCTTCCCTACGCATAAACGAGCCGGCTTATCCTTTCTTCGCCTTCGTCTCGACCATCAACTCGGAATATTTGCATTGATCGGTCTTAACTTCTACTTATATGATACACTATTGTGTTTCTCGCGAATGCAACGAATTAGGTAAACACGAAGTCTCACCATTTGAGATACGACCGATCTCTCTATTTCGCTTCTTCTCCTCTTCTTCTTTTCTTTCGATCAATAAATTTTTCGGAACGTCTTTCAATGGGAGTCCGATTGAAGTGTACGCAAGATGAACAGCTATCGGTCTTAGCCGCAGTGGAATTTCGTGTTTGCCAAACCAGAGAAATGTAAAGCGAACTCAGTCTTTGGTTGGAGCGATCCTCAAATCTCGATTCTCGACATTTTATTTAACTTTAATGGCTATCGGATTACCTTTAACATTAATAAATTTTATATAAAAATCCATATACATCCGCTATACGTTGTTCTTAAAGCAACTAAAATAAACGATTTTACCTCTTCTCTTTACAAATACATTCTCGAATCTTTATTTTCCTTTTCCTCCATTTCGTTCGCATAAAGTCGCTCGTTCTTCTCAAAATCATTTGGCGGAAGAGTTATCGCTTCTTTCGTTTTCAAGGCGTCGCTAGAAATCTCGATAGCAGCATATACATATATACGCTGTACGTACGGCGTTTCGTGTATGTGTACGTGCATGTGTTTACGGTAAGCAGATAACGTTTATAAAAGCTAGATACTATGAATACACGAGAGCAAACAAGATGGAGAGAACGGAGGAATTTCGGTTTCATGCTCAACAGTGAATCTGAGAAAAACGAGAGAAACGACGAAGTATCTAAAGAGTATGTACAAACACGGTGTAATAAAACGGATCTCACAAAAAAAAGAACACGTCCCGACAATGTACAGGCGAAAGTGTGAAGATCTTAATCAAAATAATAAGTTCTATCCAGGATAAAATTTCTTTATTACTCCTCCTTTCTAAAATCGTCTTGAAATTCATAAATTTTCATACACATTTCGCTGTGCGTCTACCACAACAACGTTTCTTTTTTTTTTTTTTTAATTACAGTTATTCAGTTAATTAATTACCTAAAATTAAGAGATACAATAAGCGTAATTATTTTTATATGTACAATATATCTGATTTTTTTATTTCATTTTATTACGATTTCGAAAAGTTTCCCTACGATTTTTGTAATTACTCGCACCATAATCTTACTCCCCCTCATTCTGGCATTACGGCTGGCGACGAATCGTTTTATGGCTCGCTACCGCGAGAGATTCCTTTGAGACCAGGCGTTCACAGATCAGAAATCAAGAATTCCTTGTTTACTGCGGCGATTATACTCAATAATCAATGTCTGCATAGTTTAATTTGCAATAAATAACAATCAATTACTGCATAATCTCAAATTCATCATTCATTCTTGTACGCGGTTATTCTGTTTGCAATAACAAGAAAAGTACAGCTATCAGTATGTCAAAGAAGAATATGAGAGTCGAGTGTGACTACAAAGGGTACAAAAGTGATCTGTTTCTCTGCAAGGCACTCCGACCAAATAATCGTTCTGATCTGTTTCTCTCTCTCTCTCTCTCTCTCTCTCTCTCTCGCTCTCTCTCAATATATCCCGAAAAGATATTGTTAATTTGGAAAAGTCCAAAACACCGTAAGTGTTTATAAAAGTAAAGTATACAATCAATAAATCATCAGTTCGATCACAAAGATAATCTCTCGTTTTCTTCTATATGTTTTTTAATATTTTTACGTTTTCATATTTTGCAATTTAATGAAGAAGATAGAAAAGCAAGTGGTGTCCTATAGAAAGACTAAGAGAGGAAGAGAGCTGTTATACATGTTATCTATATGTGGAAAACTCAAGAGAGATACTATGTTTTTTTTTCATGGTAATGAATCAAATACCGAGTTAGCGAAAACGTACACGTTCCTAGAGGAAGTTTGTATCGGTTAAATGTACAAGTACGATGAGATATTTTGCTCGAGTAGACTGTAGATACATTCAAGATAATTTGTTCAGTTGTATCAACAGATTTTACCTCTCGAACTTTGAGGCGAATTACATGTACACCAGTGAAGGGAACGAATGCCACTCATAATTTGATGACGTTGCTTTCTCGGAGGATAACGTTGAGATACCTGTCCAAATAGAGATTTAATGACACGCTCGAATTTTATTAGCATGCTCGAATCTCTCAATATGCCTATAACACGTGGCAAGATTCACATGGGTTTGAATTCCGACATTCGTATCCGTATTTGTTTATTCGAGAGTTATAAGAATTCTATTCTACAAATAAGAACACGTATCGAACAGCTTTTTGACGTTTACGTTTATCTACGGTACGGTAGAATACCGAATCTGTGAGAGGACAGATAAAAGTGTGATATGAAGTGCAGTATCGTAGCAATAGCTTGCTTCGATCTTATTTCGTTAAATTCATTTATACGGGAGAGATATAAAAAAAGTCACGAAATAAATTCGCGTGTAGAAGAACACATGTACAGTTAATGAATCTGTCTTTAGAGACAATGAAATTTAACTTGTATATTTACTTTGCCAAACACCATAGCTCGAAGTATTTCCCTACATCGATAGTGGTAATTTCAGTCACTGATGTGAAAGACGTAAGTATTCTTATACATTGCCCCCAGCAGAGTTGGTAAGAACATGTTTTAAACAGTTTAAAACATGCTTAATTGTTTTAAATATATTTTAAACACGTTTTTTATAATACTGTTTAAAGCATATTTGAAACATTACGAAACATATTTAAGAAGAAACATAATGTCTTATTAGTAAAAAAAAAAAAAAATTTAGTCTGCCAACCCTGGCTCCCAGTGAGCTTTGTAGATTCTAACACAGTATGTAATGATCCTTCCGCGCAAACACAAATCCAGTGATACAAGCTTCCCAAACGCAACATTATAAAGTTACATTATATTATAATTGCATATCGGTCGCGTATAATACGTACCGACGGATATGCAGGTATCAAAATGTACATTTTGGCGATTATTGAAGAGAAAGAGGGGAAAAAAAGAAAATCGATTTTACGATTACAATGACTTAATGCTATCAAAGATTAATTGATAACAATAGCTTCAATATTTCACAGCCTGGAAGCCTTTAACGTAGTATTATATATATGTATATATATATATATATAATATATATATGTATATAAGGAGCATTACTATATAAAGTCGTACAATACTCGCGAACCGAAACATACTATATACAGTATTGAAAAATCGTACTTTTGTAAGAAATTAATTAATCTACTTTCCTGTAATATTATCTGGAAAGCGACGAGATGTAATTCGAGCATATTCTATTGTACTTACAAGCAGATTACTATACAATCTCCACCATTGCTAATGTAATGCTTTGTATCTATTTTCCACACACTGTTGCGAATGAAACTTACAGGAAACTATCCGAAATCATTTCTTTTCCAAAACAACGATCTGATTTTATTCGATTTTAGGACAAAACAATTTCTGATGATTGGACCACATGTCCAAGTAAAGCTTTTATATTTTCAAGTGTCTACTTTGAATGATACAGATGTTGAGATATATAAAACTAAAAGGATTTTTTTGTAGAATTTCAATAATTAAATAATCAATGCTGTGTCTGAGAAAGCTTGTTGCATTATTGTGCGTCCAATTATTGTATAATTGAACGATATTGATCTGATAAATAAGAAATTTTTAAATCAAGATAAACGTAATTAATTTACATTGTCGATTTTCGATCACGATTTTCCTTGCATTGAACGAACGAGATTATTTCAGACTATTGTCACTAAAAACAAAAGAGAAGTATTGCACGCTATATTTCGACGAGTAACTTAATGATACACACAATCTCTTTTACTTTTTTTTTTACAGTTAAGCTATTCGTGTAGTTAGAACCCAATTTGTGTCCTTAGACTATATATTACTCCCTATTCTTAAAGACAAAGAAAAAAAACGAGCACTATTATGAAAAAACGTTAGTGCTAATTTCAGCTAATCGGATAGATTAGTTCTTCTCGGAATTATAAGTACCTTCCAACAAGCGACTCAGTACAATACAGTAATCTTCTTATCTTTGTTTAACATTGGCGAACAACAAGGATGTAATGATGTACTATGTCACACCGTGTCATCACATGTTCTCCTGTTGGAAGGTACTACTTGTATCTACAAAAACAATGGCAATATTTTTCACATGGCTATTGAGCGTATTTGCGGTAAATTGCTATTGATCGTTCAATGAGCAAGGAAAAAGATAATTTGAAGAAAGAGGAGCACGATCCCTCCGATGGAGAGAAGACAAAGAAACTTGGTACTTGCATTAGAATCCACGCATTCGCTGATTAGTGTCGCCATGATAAAACAACTGATTGGAGGAGCAATTGTACCTAGCCGTATCGCTCTTTCACGTCAACATAGAGCAGTATATCATCACGCGTCCGATCTCTCGCCCGAAGCAGATCATCATAGGCAAGGTAAGAGAATTAGCGAAGCCCCCAGTGACGTATTGGCGGCAACAGGGGTGCCGATAGCAGGCATCATGTCACTTCCATCGCCAGTGAATTTGTTTTGTTCGCCCGTACAAGCTGCTGCTGCTGCGGTTTGCTATCGCATGGCGAACTGTCCACTCCATCCACTTCCATATCCAAACTTTCACTAAAATCAAACGAATAATAAATCACAATAAAGTTTAGAACAGCGTTTAATTAAAATTTTGTGTAAGATCATGCCATCGCATTCCGGTTATTGAATCATCACGATGCTCCTGCTAGATCCTGGTATTTCAAGCGTTCGCGAAAGAAGATTCGTTAGCTTTTTTTCTAATTATGTAAAATTTCTAATTACATAATTGTAAGCATAATGAATTACCTATTACTATTAAGCGTAATTTCCCCGGACGTTGGGACCTGTGGCGCCTGATTTTGCGTCTGCTGTTGCTGCTTCCTCGCGAGGGTCGCCAATTTACTTTGCGTTATCAGGCCGGGTAACAGATTGGACGGCGGATGCTTCTGTGGCAGAACTAACGTGGACTGTTGGTTGTTCACAACGTGAGTGCTGTTCGTCAGGTTATTAGAGTTGTTTATGTGCGGCAACGGGCCGTTTTGGTGGCTATTGCCAAAGTTTGTGACGTTACTGCCGTTACCGCTACTGCTACTACTGCTACCACCACCGCCCCCACCGCTGCCGCCGCATGTGGTACTCGCACTAAACACTCTAACATTTGCACTACCACCGCCACTACTACCACCGCAGCTACTACCATTCCTATTATTTGTCGGACTAGTCAAAGATTTCGAGAGAATGGAAGCAGTAGCACTATTGTTCGGCAATTGTCTGTGTTGCTGCTTGGACTGATGATTCGATTGTGTATCGACCGCGGCACTGACACCGACAGTGCACTGCGTGGACATTGTACTCGATGCTACGTTAGCTTGATTGGTCGTACACGCGACGACGGAGGACAAGGTAGGAATCGACGAAGAACTCGTAGAAGTATGTACAACACTAGAACCACTACATTGGATAAGCCGGGTATGCTGTGCCATAGTGAGCGGCGCGAACAGATTATTCACGAGCGGTGTCACCACAAAATGTGAACTGCCCAGCTCGCCGTCTGTCCGTGATTCGTTCACGCTGCTATCTGAGAGACCACTGACGCACGCACTACCCGTATTACTGAGGCTCGTCTCTGCGAGCTCCATGTCTGACATGGTGTCCATCACGAAGTAATCCGCGATATTGAACTCCGACGTAAATGGCGATTCGTCACCCGCGCGTTCCGGCTCCACCTCGATGCATATGGACGTCGCGTCAGGTGGGAACGGGTATGGAAGCTTGGATCGAGACATTATTGGCTCAACGTCCGAGTCCGTGTCGTCAGTACTTTCCTCACTTGGACTATGCACAGGCGGAGTCTTTGGTCGAAAATGTAACCTGCTCAAGACAAAAATACAAATACATGTAACAAATACAATTATGTATAAAAGTTATTTTTCTTTCGTTGACGAGTATAAATAATATTAAATATTCTTTAATTATAAATTTAGTTTAATAATAAATATTAAAAAGCGTACCACTCTTGTTTGACGGTAGTCGTTGCTGTGGCAGTCGCGTTCGAATCCACTGTCTCGCGATTGGAATCATGTATCGTGAAATCTAAAGTAGACCACATATCATCCATATCGGCCGTACAGCGATCTAATATTACTCTGCAAATCGTCAAGAAAACAAACAGTCAAATAAATGTCATTGTATCTCAACATTTATCAGCTGAACAGATATCATACCTGCCACCACGACCAATTCTTCGTCGTGCGAAGCCAATACACCTTGGCATCGGTTTGCTAATGCTAGTCAGCGCAAATCTGTACTTTTTATCAGCAATACCGCCTTCGCTTTTATCACACCAAGGCCAATTTCCAAAACCACCTGATACAGGCTGTGCAAAGAGAAAAGTTTAAAATTCTAAGAAATCATTGACTATTTTTATCTTAATGACTTGTCCAGTTACAGTAACTTATAGAAAAAACTCTAGGCTTAAATCGTAGATAATCTCAATATCGATTGATCAATTCCAATCAGGCAATAATCATTAATCATCGATAATTAATCAAATCAACATCATTACTGTACTTATATTTACAAAAAAAATAAATTAATATGATGCATCAGAGTATTTAATTTCCGCTTAGATCAAAAACAGGATTCTTTTTCTTATTTATTCTTATCGGTCTAATTTCTATCAATAACAAACTAAATAGAATTATATTTTAAGAAAAAAAACGTATAATAACTTACCGGTAAATAAGAGCTATTCCTATTTCGACGAAAAGCGAATTGGCCCTCGTCTGCGGTGTCTTCGTCATCGCGATCAGAGGGTAACGAGGGCTGGGAGTGTGAATGAGACGGAAGCGGGCTATCTTCATCCGAACTTATGAGTGGATCCAGCCCGCTTCCAAGAACTCCTGGGCGATTTCCTCGACCTCCACCACTACCCGTTCCGTTACGAATACCAGTGTCGTCCAAACTTCCTCCTCTACTATCCGTTTTATGTTTTCGCTTTTTATACTGTCTCTTTTCTTTCCTGGGCACTACTTCATCCTAAATTAAAAGAAAAAATGATGTTAAAAATTATACTATATAGCAAACATGAAGGCAATATTTCTCCTTCGGAACATCCTAAAGATAATTTAATTATCAAAGATGAACAAATTCTTTAAAGCTGGTACATACTTTACAAACTTTATTTGTCCAATTTTGATGAACACCGAACTGATTAGTAAAGAGTGGAGCAAAAGCTGGTCTCGGTGCCTTTAACGCCGACACCTCTGACAATATTTGTCCACTGAAATCTTGCGCTTGATATCTATGAAATCAGTAAAAAATTTCTATTTAACAAACACTGTAATGCATACTAAAATGTCATCATGGTTTTGTACAAACCGTTTCTCGTAAATCTCGATTGTGAGATGTAGATGTTCACGTTTTGTCTTTTCTCGACGTTTCACCATTTCCAAAAGCGTGACTGCTCTACTAAGATCTCTACGAAGCTTCAACATTTTCTCATAGCTGGTTTCATCGTTTTTGCGATTCTTACGCGTTTGCATTTTCTCAGTACGTCGTCTGAATGCAAAATATGGATTATTGGCAGCTGAGCCAAATCGATTCTCTGTTTTAACAGTTAACAGCAAAGGATGTTGCTGTGGAAAATATATGTTATTATTAATATTGTATTCAAGAAATTAATTTAAAAATATAAAAAAATTTTATTAATTTTATAAAAAAAAATTAAAAGAAAACTCATAGGATAAAATTGGTACACACTCCTATATTCCTAAATTAATAATAAATATAATCTAAGCAGTACATGTACATTAATATGACATAACCTCAAAAGCACATTACAAAAATGTGATGCTTACAGTTTTGAGACGCTTGTTGAGCCAATAATCAAACACCGCGATAATCAAATCATCATCCTCCTTCAAAAGTGCCTTGGCTTCGTTGAGGGTAACTACCGTTTGTCCTGAACTCTTCTCCAGACGATCCATCATTTCTTCAAATTGGAGAGGAGTCAATTCCATCTTACGGCTTTGTAGCGCAACCCATTTTTCATCTTCAGAATCCATATCGTAATCAGGTATGTCTTGTTCCATAGCAAAGGCTGCAAAAAGAAGTAAATCCAATTTTATATATATATAAAATTATCTATCAAAGATTAACACAAATTTAAAAAATATAATAAAAACAACAATTTTAATATGCTCTTACGTTGCATATGTATTAGTTGGCGAGGCAGCTTATAATCAGCAGGATATATCTTGTTATAAGTCTCCGCATCTGCCAGATCGGTTACTTCAGGAGTAGGAATGATTAGACCCGTACATATCGCCCTTTGAAGATGATGTTCCTATATAACAAATAAAATTATATATTTAATGAAAG